ATATATATATATATATATATATATATATATATATATATAAGTCTTGCTAACAATTTAGCCAAGTGTCTTTCTCTTTTTCCTGGGGAGAGCAGTGTGGACATATCAATGCAGCTTTACCCTCTTCCTTGAGTTCCCTATTTTCCTAGTGAAAAGGGGAAGGCTAGTGAGCTCAAGTGTTTTCTTTTTTAAAATAGTTAACAATTATTCATTTCCAAAGAACTCTGTTGATTCTCAGAGAAATGTGATGAAGGTTAAGGGCAACTGGGCATTTAAAAAATATATGTATTTTCAATGAACATATTTTGTAGGCACTTTAACTATAAGCCTACACTGTGTAAGAGGAAGCATTCTACTCTCTGAAGACATGTGGGTTTGATGTCAGGAAAAATACCAGAAGAATCTCTCCCAGATATAAACATATTTGGATTAAAGATATTGTAGTAGGGTGGATGGTGGCCACCAAAGAGATATGTCTATGTCCTGAAAGCAGCAAATGTGACTTTATGTAGAAGGAGGGTCTAAAAATGTAATTAAGGATCTTGATCAGAGTGTATCCTGGATTACCCAGGTTAGCTTTAAATCTAATGATGACCATCCTAGAAGAGACACAGAGAGACGGCCATGTGAAGACAGAGTCAGAGTCATGCCACCACAAGCCAAGGAACTAGTGAAGCTGCCATAAGCTGGCAAGGAAGAATTCTCCCAATGGCCTTTGGAGGAAGCACAACCCTGCCAACACCTTCATTTCAGGCTTCTGCTTCCAGAACTGTCACCTTGGAGTCCAGTGTGCAGGCTGTGCCTAGAGTCTTAAATTATGCCTATTTCAAAGGTGAAGGAATTAATGTCCAAGGTCTTGTGGTGGTCACATGGGAATTGGAAGAGAATCCTGCTGAGGGCTGGAGTGGTAGAGTGGTTGCATACTTGGGTACTGGGTCTTGTCTGGAGTTGAATGCCACCCTCTGTCCTTATAAACTGTGTTGCCCTTGCTAAGGTACCCAACTGCTCTTAACCTCAATTTCTTTAACTGGAAAACAGAAATGATAATAGAAATTTACATACACTTGCCGGGAAGATTAGAAAGGATAAAACATTTAGATTGGGTATGGTGGTGCATGCCTATAATCCCAGTTACTCAGGAAGCTGAGGTAGGAGGATTGTCAAGTTTGAGGCCAGCCTGGACAATTTAGCAAGACCCTGTCTCAAAAATACACAAATAAATAAATAAAGGCTGGTTTGAAGAGTTCAATCTCTAGTACCAACAACAACAACAACAACAACAACAAAAAGGAAGAGGTAAATGAATATTAGCTATTATGATTATCATCATCTTATATTGATATATGATTGCCAGATTAGGAAGACCAGACAAAGAATAAAAGAGAATGAGATCATTTTCTAAGGCAGAGCATGTGACCTTTATCACCTACTAAATCAGAAGCCAGGTTTAGAAAGATTATTCTTGAGAATGTTCAATTTGGGCATGGCTGCCAGAAGGGAGGACAGAGGCCTCAGCTACCTCTATAACCTCTGTTATTTGCTGAGCACCTCACATGTGCAACTAACTATTCTGAGCATTTTCAATGAACTACTTCATTTCAAAGATGAGGAAACTGAGGCATGAAACGTTTTGTGCCTTGCTTATTTTCAGAAGCCAAGTTGGAAACCACATTGGGAGACTATCTAGGATTCTCTTGCTCCAAAGTGTTCCTTCTGTCCCATCAACTATCCCCTAACAAATGCTAAGCATCCAACAAGTATTTTTTTTTGAATAGGCAAAATCAAGCTTCATTATCAATACCTTTATAGTAATACTGGAGTTCCTCATAACATTGTAAAATAAGGAAATGGAGATTTCAGCACCATAAATCTCCTGAAACATCATAGCAAAAAGGAAAGGTTTAGGGAACAACCATTTACAAGATAAATCTATTTCTCTTTGTCCACATTTTTACCCCTTTTCCACTAGCTGACAGGGTGCCCTTACTGTAGATGAAATAAGAGTGGGCAGACAGCTGCCAGGTGTGGTGGTGGTACACCCTGTAATCCCAAGTGACTATGGAGACTGAGGCAGGAGGAGTGTAAGATCAAGGCCAGTCCGGGCAATTCAGTGAGACCTCATCTCAAAACAGAAAATAAAATTTAAAAAAAGGGCTGGGATGTACCTCTGTGGTAGAGCACCTCTGTGTTCAATTCCTAGTATCACATAAAAATATTAATAATAATAAAGAAAAGTGGGCAGGCAGCTAGTGAGCTAGTGGTGGTCTAGGTTTCTTATCATTCTACCTCTTGTTCTTTCTAAGAATTAGAATAAACAAACAAACAAAAAAAACTAGAAAGAAAATAAAATGTCCTGATATGAACACTGACCATCCTTACTGTTTTAGTTAACATTTTTGCAAGACAAGGCATTCATTTTACTGTACTTTTCTTTCAAATTGTCCTACTTAGTTAATTAAATGCTTATTTAAACACATATTCTTCTCTGGTACCAAAGGCCTTCCAGGATAAGAAGCTGTTCCATCTAAATAAAAGATGAAGGATGTCGAAACAAGAGCAGTCTTTAAAAGCAGACCCATAAATAAGGCAGTAGCTGGTGCTATGTGATTCTTGCCTTGGCACTTGTGCTGGGATTGGCTTCTGGATCAAGGGATTCTTCACCCAGAGGCCAAGGACTTGGTTGGGGGAGGGTGGCATGTATGAAACCCCAGCAATTTATACAAAGTTTGCATAGATGAACATTTTTTCTGCATGTTTCAAAGGACAATTTGAAATTCATGTCTGTAAGCTGAGAACCAGTATTTTGAAGCCTTGTACTAAAGCTTATCGCCACATTTTGCTCCTTTATATCATCTTCAGTGCCAATATAATGCCCAGTATATCACACATGTTTGTTGGTAGCTTACAAGAGAACTGGAAGCTTCATCTTGTTAAAAATGTCATTTCATAGTCAAAAGGGTCGGATTTCTAAAAGCGAGATTCCATGATATAGAGGAGTTTACCTTCTCAGGAGCAGCCAGGTCTGGTTCTCAGCTTTTCTCCTCTTTGGATTGATCCTGTGAAGGTTACTTCTCCTCTCTGGGTTACTGTTTCTTCATCTGCGAAATAAAGATTTTAGAAAAATAAAGATGCCTTCAAACTTTAAAAACAATTCTGTTCCATGTAAAATATCATTAAACCATTGGGCCAGATAATCTCCCATAAGAGTCTAGAATGTATTATATAAAAAAAAAAAAAGAGATAAGCTGGCCTTACTTTAAAAATCATTTTTAGAGAAGTCGCAGTTAAGGACATGGCATTGGCTGGTGATTTCCCAGTTGTAGTCTGAGAAGTATAAGATGTCACAGGTTCCAGGGTTGAAGGGAGGCCCAAGGGAGGCCTACAAGAGAGAGTCTGTAAATACCCTCTCCCTACTTCTGTCAGGACCGCCTGCTTTCTTACTCTGCATAGTGCATTTGGCTTCTGGGTTTATTTGTAGAAAATATTTCTTGATTTTAATTGTCTATATTAATGTCATGGGACAAAAGAAGGAAAAAGAGAACTGGGTGTGATGGTGCACACCTGTAATCCTAGCAGTTTGGGAAGCTGAGGCAAGAGGATTGCAAGGTCAAAGCCAGCCTCAGCAATTTATCGAGGCCCTAAACAGGTTAGAGAGACCCTGCCTCAGAATTAAAAAAAAAAAAAAAAAAAAAAAAATTAAAAAAATATAAAAGGCTGGGGATGTGGCTCAATGGTTAAGCACCTCTGGGTTCAACCCTCAGTACTGGAAAAAAAAAAAAAAAGACAAAAGCGATTAGGTAAATTTTTGCATTTAAAAATCTGTCCTTGGGGACTGGGGGCATAGCTCAGTGGTAGTATATGTGCAAAGGCCCTGTGTTCAATCCCCAGCATCAAAAATAAATAAGAAAAAATTAATAAAAATCTCTTTGAAAACTCACTGGAAACGGAAGCCCTAAGTCTTGTTTCCTATTTGGTCATTTATTAGCTCTTTCACATCAGGCAGGTCATATAGTTTTTTTTTTTTTTTTTTTTAGTCTTCCTCTTCACATGTAGTACAATAATTGCATTGGTAATTGAGATAATTAAAAGAGATAACATTAGGGAAAGTGTTTTGTAATTGACAAGGCACCATAAAGATGGTTAATGATTCTTCAATAGTGTGCCCAGGGCTTGACATTTTTCTTAACCATTATAGCAATTTTTTTCCCCACTTGAATTAAGTCATAGAGAGCATGGATGATCAAATTTGCAGATGACTTCAGGTTATGGGACAGAAGTATCAGAGACAGAAGTCTGCAGTGTTCAAGAACATCTAAGGGTAAAACTTGGAGAAAAAGAAAAGGTCTTGTTCTTTAGTCCAAAAAAATTAATTGCTCAAGACTAAGATGGAGGGAAAATTTGGCTTCAGCAGTTCAAGTAAAAAAAAAGATAAGGAATTTTTCTGGAATTCAAGTTTATGATGAGCCAATAGTCTTGTGATATGATTGATAAGTAAATAAATAGGTGATTCAATATGCTTGGAGAAGGCCTAGAAGGTTTCATATGGGAAGCTTTGAGACAATTTCAGAGGAGGAACCTGTCATAGAGGACTTAAAAGACCTAATGTTCTCAAATGAAGTTACAGACTCTCATGTTGGAGAAGGTTTAGAGTTCGTTCATTGTCATCAGATGTAAATCTCAGAAAAAAATTAGACAATAATTGTTGCCTATAGAAGAATCAGGGTGTAGCTCAGTGGTAGCATGCTTGTCTGGCATGTGCCAGGCCCTGGGCTCAATCCCTAACCCCATTAAATAAATAAATAATAAAGGAATGGGTTTGTTGGAGAGACACTGAAAGCTTCATTAGGAAAATAGTTCAAATAGAGACTAGATAAGGCTTTCTGCCGCTTGCCATGAACCAGGAGGAAGATTTTTAAAATTTTTTCACCAACTTCAAGATCATATTTCTACAGTAAAATTAAGTGTCTCATGGGAAGGATAGTTCAATTTATTAAAAGCCTTACTAAAAGGGTGTGGATTTTGAAATTGGCAAGCTGAAACTTGCTCTTGTGTGATTTTCAAGATGCTATCTAACCTTTCTGAACATCATCAGTTATGTCATCAGTAACCTGGAGGTGACTCATTGTCTCTGCACTGTTGTAAAGAGGAAGCCATACAACATTGGCAAAGGATGTTTAATTGTGCCTGATCTAGGTAAGGACTCAGAGATAGTAATTTTTATCCCAATTATTATGTTTCTCCTATTTTTTTCATGTATTTTATTTCCTCCTCACCCCTGATAAGAGATTCTCAATAGGTGACTATTGAACCCCTCAGAGACATGACGTAAGTGAGTAAAGTGGTGTCATTTTCATGAGTCTGGAAGGAGCAATTTACCTGGAAGAAGTTAGTAGGTCAGATGGTACAGAATCTTGTTTCATGTCTGCACCATGTTTGTTTCCTCCTAAATGGAGGGAACCTGTAGAACAACCTTTTTTTTTTTTTTTGGTTTTAAATTATAACCTGATTTTCCTGCCCATCAAACTAGAACTGGGCCAACCTGTTTGATTCTCTTCTTAGTTCAGAATTTTAGGCAATAAAATACCCTATTAAAATGTTAAAGCCCAATTTCACAATTGTGTAGCAGATGTGGTATCCGTAGTCTTCAAAAGAGGGAGAAGGGGAGGTAATTGGAGTACTGTGGTGAGAAATGTCTTCTTTATAGGCCTCTTTTTTTTTTTTATTTTTTTATTTTTATTTTTTTTTATTGGTTGTTCAAAACATTACAAAGCTATTGACATATCATGTTTCATACATTAGATTCAAGTTGGTTATGAACTCCCATTTTTACCCCAAATACAGATTGCAGAATCACATCTGTTACATATCCACAATTTTACATAATGCCCTATTAGTAACTGTTGTATTCTGCTCCCTTTCCTATCCTCTACTATCCCCCCTCCCCTCCCCTCCCATCTTGTCTCTCTACCCCATCTACTGTATTTCACTTCTCTCCTTATTTACCCATTCCCCTCGCAACCTCTTATGAGTGCTTTAGTATAACAATGAGCGTCTCCCTCCATTACCATGCAATATCTCTTTTCTCTCCCTTTCCCTCCCACCTATTGTATTTTTTCTGGCCCTAAGTTAGTAAAATTATTCTTCAATAATGAGTTAATAAAGGAGGAGCAGTTTGCTATTCTTGGGAGAATAGGATCCTATTCTCTCAAGCGTCCTGCCCAATATTAAATGAGACTATCCTACCCTAGATACACTGTGTGAGAGTTAGCGTGCCACTCTCCCCACCGACCCCTTGGTAGTCCTTTGGTAAAAAGTTCACATCAAATTTCATAAGTTTTTCACTCTGTCGCTTAACTACTTTGTTTTTTTCTAAAAATCAAATTTGTACTCCACAGCATTAACTACTCTAAATGAAGACTCTTCCCCTAAACCCAGACATATTAGAATTTTAAAATAATTCTAAAAACAAGAAACATACTAGAAACCATAACTAATCAAAATTGATAAACATTAGAGTTGAGATGATCATTCCAATGCTTAACTTTTAAGCATTGCCTTATTATGATCAAAGATAACTATATGAATAGGTTCTAAGACCAGTTGGTAAATAATTTATTTAAAGTATTATAAGAGAAACTAGGGATATTTAACATATATTATTACAAATTCCATGAAAAATAAGTAAGCATTTTTCAAAGCATATAATTTAGTGATGAGTATTGATAATATGTGTGATTATTGGATGTAGAGATTGGGTCATGTTTTTTTATAAGGAGTTATTGAATTTTCTATTATACTGTATGGTACTAATAGTAATATATACAAATATTTATTTACCTCTCAGTATTGTTTATATACATACATGCATATATATGTACATATATACATACATATATACATACATGCACTAGGGTGCTATATAAATTTTTATTTTAAAGGAACAGAATTAATTTATTTTATAGTTTTTAAATAATAAATCACGGGCTGGGGATGTGGCTCAAGCGGTAGCGTGCTCGCCTGGCATGCGTGTGGCCCAGGTTCGATCCTCAGCACCACATACCAACAAAGATGTTGTGTCCACCGAAAACTAAAAAATAAACATTAAAAAATTTCTAAAAAAAAAAAAATAATAAATCAGTCAAGTATGTTTCTTGGAGTTTATAACTGCTAAATACTAGATAAAAAGGCTTTTATTTATTTATAAATTTATAGTTGTAAGCAATATGCTTAGCTTAAGAGCTTTTAGGAGAGAACAAATGTGAAATTTTTAGGAAAAAACACTTCTTTATCATTTAACCTTACTAAAGAGATATAAGTCTTCATTATGTGACAAATAATACTTCTCCCTCAACAGTAATACTTTAAAAAATTACTCTATTTAATAAGGCTTTCATAACTGACAAATATTAAATTTTATATATAAATTCAATATTAGTGAAGGTAGGTAAAATAAAGATAGTAGCTAAGTTGGAAGAGTTTGTTGACAACTTTAGGAGAAATATTGTTGCTATACAAATAGTCTTTGGTTTTAAGCAAAAGGGAGAATGTGCTTCCTTATTAATGTTCTTGACCACTGTTGAAACCATATTTGCTGTGATGAAAATAAAATATCTCCCTGAAATGTCCCATAAAAACTTATAAAATAATAATATAAAAAATAGACATCCATGATTTTACTATCTTAAAAAATGTGTATGTATAATTGGCATTTTGGATTTTTCTTTGCATTTTTAAACATTTGATTATAATCATAGTATGTGTTTAATTCTGTATTCTGATCTTTAAAAAATAATTGTTATTACATAGTTTTTTAAAATCACCTTTCTAATGACTGCATTAGCCTAATTTTAAGTTACCAAGATTTATTCAATGCTTACCACAAATATTTGTTGAGCTGCACCATGCTAGGCACTGACAAACACCTATGCAGACTGTGGGAGAATGTATGTGTATGAAAAATTGAAATCTTGGTACTATTGTTACCCTAGAATCGAGCACTTAGGTGTGTTGTTCAGTTGGTTGCTAATTATCAGCTGAGGCAGGTAAGGGAATATTTCTATGTATTTCTGTAGATACTATGCCAGGTTTAAATCTATTA